CTTTTTGAGGAAGGAGCCTACCTATAAAGTCTCCATTGTAGTTCCTTTTTGAGGATACCTTATAAAATTCTTGATATTATAACTAGTGAAACCAAAAAAGAACTGCAATGGAGACTATAGGTATTGCTCAAGTTTCTACATGCGGCAGGGTCCCTTTGCTAAGTTGTCCAGCGTCAAAGGGATCATGATGGCTCGGGCTTCGAGGCCTCCAAGTTTTCAGGATTCTCGGTGGTTTGAGTTAGGATTCAGGGATTTTGGGGCCCGCTATACTATAATTATAATAAGGAACCCCCAAATAGGATGTAAGGCTTTAGTGTTCAGGGATAGTTTTGGATTGGCGCTTTCCACTGAAGGGCTGAACCTCAAAGGCTAAGCCCTAAGCTCCGCGTCCAACCAAGGAGCTTCTCCTCGACCCAAAGGCCCTTGCGTGGTTCCCAAAACTTAAGCTGTACGCCCTACACCCCAGGCCGTAAGCCCTCGGCCCGAAACCCAAACTATAGGCCCTAATTAAAGCCCAAAGCCTTTCAACCAACTTAAACGCCACAAAACTCGAAGGATTCGGGGAGCGACGACACCTGCGCCCCAAACTCCCAGGTGCGGCTCGCGATTCCCAGCTTTGCCGCCGCTCCCGAAGGCGTTCATGGGGATGAAAGTAAGCAGCATAGTTCATTTCTGCTCCTAAGGCCCTAAGCCTTAGACCCTGAAACCCCCAAAACCCTGAAACCCCTAAACGCTGAACGCCCCGAAATCCTGAAAGCCCAAACGCCTGACTGAGACTCTATTATAGACCCTGAAGCCCCAAAACGGCGAAGCCCTAAAGCCCCTTAGCCTTGAAGCACTCAAGCCTTTAAAGGATCCCTTAAAGGAACCCTCAAAGGATCTCTTAAAGGAACCCTTAAAGAAAAGGGTTTAGGGTTTAGGGTTTAGGCAAACCCCCCCTCCCCCACGCATTACACTCCCTGCCTGGGCAGGTTTGATCAACAAGCCGACGTGTGCACGCTATGACAAGGAGCAAGCCACCTGGACGGTCGAGAATGCCGGGATCTCAGCACGGGCTATATGGGGTTAGGATTATATAGGTTCAGGCTTGAATTCAGGGTTTAGGGCTCTAGGCATTGAGGTGGCTTAGAGGCTTTCAGGATGTGAGGCTCCGACCTAGGCTTCAAGCTTTTGGAGCTTCGGGGCCTGAGGGCTCAGGGGTGTGGGGAATCGCGGCATCAGGGTTTGGGGCTTGGGTTTAGGGTTTAGAGTTTATAAGGTTTTAGAGTTTATAAGGGTTTAGAGTTTAGGGTTTAGGGTTTAGGGCTCAGGGCTTAGAGTTTAGGCGTTAGGGTCTAGGGTTTAGGCGGTTTAGGGTTTAGGGTTTAGGGTTTAGGGTCTAGTTACCCGACATCTGGAAGAGGAGAGACTCTCGTGCCGCTATCTTCAGGTGCTCACAGCTCCGGCAGACGGAGGACTGGAAACGTTCTGCGCTACTACGGGGGCCGCTCCCTTGGGGTTCTATATGGGATCCACAAGAAGGGCTTTCAGGTACCCTAAACCCTACTCCCTGAACCCTAAACCCTTGAGGGTTCTATATGGGATCCACAATAAGGGCTTTTAGGTACCCTAAACCCTACTCCCTGAACCCTAAACCCATGAGGGTTCTATATGCGATCCACAGGAAGGGCTTTTAGGTCCTTCTGAGGCTCATGGAAAGGCTTCTCTCGAGCCCTCAGCAAGAGCGCAGGCATGGTGGGGTGCTCATCAACATACACCTCAGTGTCTTACGTCGTGTTCGCCGATCAGGTGCTGCCCTCAGATGTTCTGCCAACCTGGAGCGCCAAAGAAGCAACTTTCAAAAAACAGGCTCCTTTAGGATAGTGGCAGAAAAAAATGCAACTGAGCCCAAAAAACAGCAACTTAGCCGTAACTTAGCCAAAGTGGTGAATTTGCATATGCAACACTTGTCTGAAATGCTCGGTTTCGACTGCAACAGGCAACGGCAGCTTTTTTGTCGTTCGTGACTGGAAAACTTGAGCCTGAAGGGCTTAAATCGAACCCATGCCGGAAGCCAGAGCGACCATTTAAAGAACGACCACGCGCGCACACGGACAATCAGCAGGTTAAGCGTCAACTTGAACCATGCAGACAGGAGTCATCTGATTTACCCCAAAACGCATCGAGGATACGTCAAAACCTCCACCGTCGAACCGACACATCAACCCTGTAAGCCTTAAGCCGAAACATGTGCAGGAGGCAACAATCTGGATCTATTATGGCACTACTCTACTTCAGAAAGGCTAGCTGGAGAACCGCCTTATGTTATGCGGCGAGTACACAACTTGAAGAACATGGCCACCTATAACAATCACCATCGCAGAAACTTTCGATGGTGGGAATTTGGTGTGTGTGTGTGTGTGAGGTCCATGGGCTGCCAACATGTCAAACGTTTCTAACATGTCAAAAGTTTCTAGGCGCTCACTTCCGGCAGCGTTTCTTACTCTGGCATTTCGGGGATAGGGCTTGGGATTCTGAACTAGTCGGCTCGCTTTCGGTCGATGCTCATATCTCATGCCAAAGACAAAACGTAGGAGGGATGGACAATACTTGTACGTGGGGGCCTATGTAATGGTATGCGGCGTACTGTTATATGAGGGTTCCTTGCCAACCCAACGCGAGAGATGAAGCTCAGACCCTACATCCCAACTGCACAGCTCTGAACCTATCTTCTGCAGTCTTCCCCTAATGCCACATGGGCCGGTAATCAGTATAGCCAAACGGATGTCCTATGCGACTGGAACGTTGTGTGTCGATCTACAATTGCAGCGGTGCCAGGTTCAGTTGGTGACTGATGTCCGAACCTTTTTGGTGCTTTCCGGCGAGTTCATGTGCGTTTATTGCAAATTTTACCAAAACAGCAGTGGCATAAAATCGCATAAAGTGGCGTAAAATCGCGCAAAGTGGCGTAAAATCTCGTAGGACTGAAATCGGTCAAATTTTGATTGGTTTCAGTGCTTTGCGACAGCTGCCCATCGTCGATGTTTGCATTTTTATGTCTATTAACTCCGAAGCATTGTCGAGCCGCTCTCCATTCCTCGCTCTGTTCTGTTTTGGTGCGGCTTGGAGTTCTTGCTTTAGCAGCAACCCACCATTCTGACCAAGTCGGGCTACGGAGACCAATTTACAGCTAGTTACAGGACTGTTGGTAGCATGTGCAAAAGATGCTGACGAGGACAAGTTCTCAAATTGGGGATGGATTGCTTTACCAGGTTGGGGTATGAAGACGGCAGTTGAACAGTTTAAAGCTCAATTTAAATCTGCACGACGGGCTGCGCTCGCTCTTGGAGTGCTCGTGTTACGCAACTTTGAGGCGAATACATGTGACTGTACGCCGTACATGTGCTACGGCAATGCGCTGTTGTCGCTGTCGTTGTTGTGTGAACCTGCTCTGCCAAAACCGCACAAGAACTTGCTCGCCGGTTTGGGCATGAACAGCAGCGAACTTTGAGTTCTGCGAGCTCAAAAGCGACTTGCAGGGCTTGCATGGGAAGTCCTATCTCGTGAGATGTAGAGTGCACTTACTCCCTATACGGGCTCTGGCAAGGATTCGGCGCGTCAAGTCGGAATTCAGGTTGGAGCTTATGGCAAAAGGGCTTATGGCTCAGTCGCGGATTCACAAGTTTAATTAGGAGCTCACCTGACCCTTTCTCAATATGTACTACAATGTCTGCCTTTCCATGGCCCCACACGTGACCCTGTGCTCCCACATCCTTGCTTCGATTTATTTTTTGCTGCTGCGATAGAACGTCATGAGCATACCCTAAACCCTAAACCCTAAACCCTAAACCCTAAACCCTAAACCCTAAACCGATAAGTTCAGTCCCCCCACACTTGGCCTCGAACCCGACTCTGAAGGCCCACAGATTTGCACAAATCATCCGCAGTTTGGCAGCCCCGTGGTGCTTTTGATCCTCAGATCCCAAAGCCAGAAACTGCCACCGAGCCGAAATATTGCAACTTTTTATCGGTTGCAGTTATTTCTGAAACTTGGTTTTCCAGGAATGTAGAAGGAGGAGAGCAAGAGCCATGGTCGGAGTTGAATTAGGGCTCAGAGTGCGTTGCTATGTTTTCTGCTGCCACGTGCGAGGTGCAAGATACCACGTTGACGGTGACAATGGTCACCCGCACAATGTCAGCACCTCAAATTCGGCTCGTGATGCATCTGGCAGCAAGATGTTTCGACGCTCAACCCTACACACGGGACACTAAATAAGGACCACGACATCGCTATCCGGTGTGATCGACGAGACTTCTTTGACGAGCCTGGGCTGAAAGTTTGCATTGACCAATCGAAGGGTTGAGCTCTGGAGCATACGTGGTCAGGCTTTAGGGCCTTAGGGTTGAGGGTCTAGGGCTGCATGGCATCGCAAAATGTTGAGGGCTTTGGGCTGTGGGATAGCACTAATACATGTTGGGCCGTGGCCGCGAAGACGCTTCAATCATTGACTCAAGACGCACAGGCCAGCACCAGTATAAGTATGACTACTGCTTATGACTGTTGCTACGGTGTGTGTGTGTGTGTGTGTTGTTGCTCGCAGTTCAGTCGATGATTGCGGAATCACTTGGTGCCTGAGCCCGGGTGTGAAGTCATCGAATCAACTCAACGATGGTGGCCACATGATACCCATGGTGACAAAGCATGTTTCGTCCCAACAGTCCGTGGCTCAACCGTGGAACATCTAAAAGTGTGGCATGGCACGTTGCCAATCTTTGCCAATAGTTTCCATAGCATGCACAAGTGGAACCGGTACATATTCGTCGTAGCCATCCTCCTCATCCTGCTCCCCCGCCTCCTCCTCGTCCTGATCCCAATCGTCATCTCACAACCATCATGAGTATTCTCCCCGTCATGTTCAGCACCATCAGCATAAGCTTCGTTCTCATCACCACCATAATCTGCTTCTCCATACTCATACCGAGTCTTACTCATCACCTCGATCTCGTTCGTCTTCTCCATCCGTATCCTCGTCGTCTTCACCATCGTCGTCCGACGTTATCGCTGTCATCGGTGGGCACCAGAGGCAACAGCAAGTACAAGCACTCGTATTGCACCACCAGAGTACGAAAGGCCTTGGGTGTTTCACTCCAAAGCTAAAGCACATGCCATCAAACGATATTCCTACACAAATGTGCGCGTGTGCATGTATATGTATTATAATATATATATATATATATATATATATGTATGATATATATATATATAGTATACATATATATAATATATATATATATATATAAAATATATATATATATATATATATATACACAAACACCTTCCCGACTGAGCCGCCGCCGAGGTTCAGCCCAACGAGTTCGGCCCTGCGTGCCGTTGCTGGGAGACAACTAGAAGCCTGTGCGTCTGTAAGAGTGGATATCAGGGTTTAGAGTTTTATGTTTAGGGTCTGTAAGAGTTGGATATCAGGGTTTAGGGTTTAAGGTTTAGGGTCTGTAATAGTGGACATCGGGGATTTCCCTCCTCTGACATACCTTTAAAGCTGATCATGAGCTCAAGCCCTCAGAGTTGCGGCTGAAACAGATATTCGGAACCTGCGCCCCAGGCTAGGCCCCGACCCCTTAGGCAGGCCAAAGAAAGAGAGACAAGGCTTGCTCTTCAAGCAAGACTTCCTTCAGGAATTTGAGCTGCACGTCTGTTGTCCCGACAGCAGTAAGCTCGCAGCAACGAAGGGAAGAACCAGAGCTAGACCCAAACCTTAAACCCTTAACTTTCGCCTAAACCCTTCGATACTCTCCAGGAGCTTCATCTAGGGCGGCTTACCAAAATGCTTCTAGCAGGACCGGATAAGACCGTGAAGACTTTCAGTGCTGTTACTTGGGTACTGAGAATGAACACAGACTATGCAACAGGTGATCATGAAGTACATTGCGGTGTCTGCTATAAAAGAAGCACTGCGAGTGTGTGCATGCATGTATGTGTATATATATATATACATATGTATACATAAATATATATATATATATACACATATAGATACACAGGAATATATGTATACATACAAATGTATACCTGTATATGTGTGTGATCATAACTGTCAGGCGCGCAGTGCTGCGTGTCATGCAGTGTGGTGTGCATCTTTGCCTAGGTTTTCGGCTTTGTGCTGAGCTTTGCCGTGCAACACATGTGGCTCTGATGCGGAAGTGCCTGAGGCATGTGCATGCAGTCCTCGTCACCTCGAGTGTAATTCTCTTGCTTCCCTGCTACATGGAGGTAGGAGGCACGCAACTTCCAAATGCCTGACTAGTCCAATCATGCAGCTCTCCATGTGGCACGAAAAAACTGCCGTGAGCAGATCTGTCAGTGGTGCTTTTCCCGTGCTCCACATTCAAGCCTTCGAGTGGTTTGACGCGCCGAATCGTGTCTTCAAGGCCTTCGAAATACCCCTAGAGGCTGAATTGCTCGGCAAACCTCTTGATGCTTCCTCTTGCAATTCAGAGGATGGGCGACCTGCGAGAACCTGCCAATTTGCAGCAAGAGCTCAGTACTGAGCAGTCATCCCAGGAATAGGAACTGTGGTTTAGCACTGGTGTAGTGGAGAAAGCTTTGCTCCCTAACACTTTGAGCTCTTGTGTCAAGCAGGGGTTCCCATCGCAAGCCGGTGGGCCTAGCCGCAGGCTGGCTCATTCGTCAAGAGTTAACGAATTTAACGAAGAAGTTGGCCCCACATCAAGGTGCACTTGGCCAGCTGTACGCTGTTCCGTCGCACATTTGATGTTAGTAGACCTATTGTTAGATGTGTTATGGGACCATCTGTACTATAGGCCCGCGTTTGATGCTGTTGTCACCGTCTTTATCATGTGCGTCGCAACACTTGCACTACAATTTCTAGGAGCGCCACTGCCGTAGGAGCTGGTGCGCACCTGCTCAAAGCAGGGGCCGTTAAGATGAGCCGGATGCACGTGGCCGAGTGAACTGGATAGTTTTGCCACCAAAAAGATCAGCGTTTATGAAAGAAGCCGCCATGCTCAGAGTTATTAGCTTCCTATATATTGCCACGTATCATGTGCACTAAAGGCACACAGAGAGCATGAGTATGTTGAAGGAGAGCGACAGTAGTGCAGATGCCAGACAACTTGCGCCTTCAGGAAGCTAGGGACGGCCCTAGCACGCGGAGACATCTGGTATATCCGGCTGGGTTTGCGTAGTACTACTGCATCTTCAGATGATGCTACATATGGCTATGCTTTTGCACAGATAGATCTGCAACATGATATGCGTCGTCTGTTCGTTTACATTGCTTTGGTACATCATGCGGCCATCTGTGCTGTGCCTTGCTGTAATTGCCAGTTCTGGTGTGACTGCCCTCTTTTCGTTGCTATTTTGCTGGCTCTCTCTCCCCCTGCCTCTGTATTTCTCTCCCTGTCTGTCTCTTTCTCTCTCTCTCTCTCTCTCTCTCTGTCTTTCTGTCACTGTGGCTCTCTCTCGCTCACTGTCTCTCTCTGTCTTTCTTTGTCTCTCCTTCTCGCGCCCTCCCTCTCTCTCTCTCTCTCCCGCTATCTCGGGCGCTTGCTCTCTGTTGTTGGGCTTGTCGAGTGGATGGTCGTGTGGGGACGTGATGTTGTACTTAGCTATTCTGGTGCCGGTCGTCGTCCAAGTTTCGCCTTGTCATGATTTTGAGGTACACTTTATGCTCGTGCTCGTGAGCAGTTGCACCACTGTTCCTCATGTGTACTGCGGCACATATGGCCGGGGAGCCATACAGCCCCTTGCGAAGACCCTTTTTCAGATCTGTGACAGATACCCTTCGCCGACCTCGCATGACACACCCACCAAACTGTAGTTCCCACTTCGTAGGAGCCCCTTCAAGCCTCAAGCCCACCACCTTCTCGAAGGAAGGGACCAGTGCACTGTGCAGGTTGGTGTGGGTTGACCTTAGTTAGTGAATGGTCAACTTGCGACTGCATTGTTCACGGGAAGGGTGCCTGCTGTCTTGCTGCGGCCCAAGCGTAAAGAAGCACTTTTGGTGTGCAGTGTGGGCTCTGCGCACGGATCCCGGCTCAAGGAAACAACACTAGCACACTGCCGCTTCCCCACGGCTCCAACGCAAGATGGGCACCTCGCTTGCAAATATTCGCAACTCGCATGGTCTCCCACGGAGATCCCAAGCGACAAAAGGCCAGCAATCCTCAACCCAGATTCCAACGGCAAGAGAAGGGATCAAAATTCCCTGAGCCTCTTACGTACCTAGTCTGGGAACTCAGCAGCGCGGACACTCTCCCTGTCTGCAGCCGTTCTCCCACTTGCATACCTGAACAGATCTTTCAAAATGTGACCTACATCCCCTAGGCCGTGAACCCTGTTTGGATTTAAGCTCCTGAACTATTGGAGCCATATTGACCGTAGCATTGCAATAGGGTAATGTTATATAATTCATAATTTTATGGTTTTACACATTTAGATTTTCACAAATCATTAGAATTTTGCTGTTGTAAATGTTACAATCTCACTATATTGCAATACTACAGTTCTAGAATGTTGCAAAACTCTAGTATGAATCCCAAACCCTAGAACAGAACTAACTTTGCACCCTTAGCCAGGGGTCTTAGATGCTTGAGCCCTAAACCCTAAACCCTTAAGTTCCCTGAAACGTTTGATGCATGTGGAAATCGGCCCCCAGGCCGATTCATCAAAGCGGGGCGCGTCGTCGTCATGCTCCAGGCATTCTGGGCACTTCAGCAGCCGCAGTGCAGTGCAGTGCAGCGCATGCCTGTATGTATGTAGGTAGCTGTGCAAGCATTCCTGTATGCACGTCTGTATGTAGGTATGTCTGAACATGTACATGTGTAGGCGTGCGTGTGTGTGTGTGTGTGTGTAGCTACGAGTGTGAAGGTATGTGTGTATGTCTGCATGTGTGCATGCAAGTATGTATGTATGTATGTATGTATATATGTATGTATGTATGTATGTATGTATGTATGTATGTATGTGTGTCTGTATGTATGTGTGTATGTCTGTCTGCCTGCCTGTATGTATGTGTGTATGTCTGTCTGTATGTCTGTGTGTCTGTATGTCTATGTCGGTCTGTCTGTCTGTATGTACGTGTGTATG